CACAACTTGGCAAGTCACGTTGTGCTGACAATCTCTGTCTCTTCTCTATAGCTAGCAAGCATTAATTATGAACAATTACTTGTCCCACCAGCTTGTTAAATTCGCTATTAGTCTACTCAACTTTTGTTTTCACCATGCAACTATGGTTGATTAATCGGTTTGAAGTAGAGCTCCCCCAAATTAGGAAGTGCTTTTTCTACTATTAAATATTTATCGACTGTTAATTTTACATGTATATATAAATTATTTCAAATATGAATCTGATAAGTTTAAAAAACTTAATATGTTTTGTGCAGTTTTATTATTTAAAAAGTGATTCTTTTATACAATTTAAATGAAATAGATAATTTTAAAATATTTATAAACGGAAATTGTTTTAAACAATTAATTATAACAATAGTTAATTATTAAAATAAAGTTCTTTTTGCAGGCAATTACAACTCACGCATATTATTAGAGTAATCCTCAATAAAATCATTTATATAAGTTGGTTTTAGATGTTGCAAAATCGTACAATTAATTAATAGAAATGCTCTAGGTGTATGCTTGGATTTGATTATTTAATGAGAAACATTTTTGTATTATGAACTCTTTTTAGGAAGCTAATAAATTCAATATTTATTGAAAATAAACTAAACTTAACATACACTAAGTTATAAAATTAATTAGATTGTTGTCTAATCTTATATGCACCTATTTTTAACTAGGAAAATGACCACAAAGCTAAGGCATGAATCACATCACAAGAAATGTTCTAAGAAACACGTACATATATATTCTCATGGCAATAATTAACATGGTTAACCAAAGAAGAAAAAAATTAACCCATGATCCTTATAGCTGTCAACAATGTCTAAACAAAGTCGAACACAAAAAATAATAGTCTTGACAAGGAGTCTGCCAAAAATAGTCTCAAAAATCATAACATTGACACGCCCAGTGGGACTCGAACTCACAATCGCCTGATTAGAAGTCAGGCGCCTTATCCATTAGGCCATGGGCGCTCTTTTGAGTAGGATCCTATCATAAAACTAAATAACAATTTTAATTTTATAACTTCTTAATTTAAAACATATATTAATTTTTTAAAAATTTGGAGTCCGAAACATAATTTTAGAGTTATTGCGTGAAATTATAATAATATAAAAAACGAATTTCAAAAAATCTTGTGTATAGTTTCTGTGAAGTTCAGTCTACAACTTTTCATTTTTACTGAAAAAATGAAGTACGTGTTGAATGTCCAAACAAATAAAACATTCAAAATTAATTATAATATATTTTTATAAGCATAATTGATACACATTGGCACGTGACAATCAGAGGTACTCATTAATATGTAATCGTTTTGTCCGAATTGACTTGGAGTAATATGTACTGATTTGTATTAATCTCTTTCATAATTAATACTTGAAGAATAATAGTTAAAAAAGGAAAAATATATCTACTGAAAAATATTTAAAAAATATAAATTAACAACAGATTTTATTATTTCTTATTTGAAAATATTTAATTAATATTTTGAAAGCAGTGGTTAATACCTGTCTTTTTTGAAAGCTAAATTGAACTACTGTACAAGTCTATCACGTGGCGACGCATTTTCAACTAATGCATTCTAGAATTCAGTGAAGTGTTCCAAATCAACTCCGTTTTAGAGTCTGAATGACGTTCCCTTGTCGTCATATAGAATTTCAAAAACATTATAACGGCTTAATTGGAATAATTCGACGTGTGACGAATATTCAAAATCAAACCTTTCAACGGTACATTTTCCTAAAACGCAATCCGTTTTCTTTTCGTCCAATGATCTTTTACACTACATCTTCGTGTTAGCTTTTACGGATTTGAATCTTTCCATAATGCTTTTGTTTTTTTTTATTCCACCTTCTTTCTTTCTGTCCTGACCCTTTTAACCAAACAAAAGAAACTTGTATTAATTTAATAAGTACCTGTTTAAGAAAATATTTTATATTGTAAAGTTAAGTTCACATGTTATAAAATTAAAAAAAAAAATCTTATATTGTAAATATCTGTTTAAGAAAATTGTATTAATTGCTTAAAGTTAATTTCAAATTTTGATAATTTTTTATTTAAAACGGCAAGCCAAGTCAAATGATGAGAGTTGGAAGGCAAGTATTTGGATTAGATAATTGGCAATATAAAATATGAAACCAATGTCATCGCATTTACTGTGATTTATATGATATAATTTTGTTTTGAGTTTTAATAAAAGAATTATTTATTAATTCTTTAGTTAAAATTTTAAGACATTCATGAATATCTTAATTTATATACATATAATGATTTATAACTATTTTAAGTAATAAAAAACGAAAATAATCTCCCATACCAAATGCCAAGAAAGACAAAAGAAGGGATGAGTGATTGTTAAGGGAGTGATAATGGAAGATGACACATACACATTAACGGATATAATAATAATAGTACATTGACAATTGCACTTTTAAAAGACTACAAATGATAAAGCTATCGGAAATATGTAGTATATTTTTGGAATGTGTATGAATATAAAGTTTAAAAAATATATCACATTATGTATAGTGTTAACTTTTAATAATTTAAATTATGGAACTCTTAAAGCTATACAACGGTTAAAGGTAAGACTAATCTCAACAACTAATTTGATCATATGGATAATATGTATGTACATTATAAAACACTAACTCGTGTATATTTATGTATTATTTTTTTAATGTGTATGTAGATACATAATAAAAATGGATATCCAAAATATTTATCATGTTAAAAATATAAATTTAGTGTTTTTAAATTAATTAAAACAACTAATAGAATATATTTAATGGTTTACATTATATGTATTTATAAGTATGCAATATATTTTTTAGTTCACTTGAGAAATGTTAATAATATTTGTTAATATATTTTTTATTATTAGATAAAAATTATTAGGTCTTGTAATAAATGGTACACATTAAATAAGGGTGAAGTTTCCATCATGTAAGGTTTGTTTATAATATTAATTGAGATTTTATAATTTATAAGTACATGAATGAATTGAGTTAGTTAGTAAAATTAAATAAAATATATTAAACGATTAAACAAATATATGATATTATATTAATATAAATGAACATGTGTTAAATGCATGTATAATTTGCTTAAAAACACAAATATACATAGAAAATAAAATTATTGGTCAGTATTAGTTATAAGCTGAATGTTATGTAAATAAATTTTTCAAAAAATTAACTTGAAAATGTTATTTTTTATTTAATAGTTACTAAATAACTCTATTAGTTTATTAGTTATAAAAAAAGTTGTACAAATTTCTAAATAAATTATAAGGTTAATAAACTCTAGGTGAGCCTTATATATTTTTTGTTTTTATAGTGTGTATCTAAGTATATACAATGAAAAAATAATTAGTAATATTTTGATAAAAATATAATATTTAATATTATCAATATATTAAACTACATAATGTCTTTAAGTTCTAGTAAATTTTATTATATATCTTTAAGCATACATAAGATTCAATTATTTAATATATCCTCCACTTTAAACTGAATGTCGTATATAGTTTTTGTACAACGACGATCAAGGATAATAATAGATATATTAACTAGCATGATATTGTTATTGAATTATCTTTATTATTTATTATCTTTTTTTGCTAGAAAAAACGCACGCAACGTTTCAAATATTCCATTCATTATTTGTTTAAAAGAAGTTAATTAAAAATTCATATTTTATTGAAATCCTGAAACAATACTTAAAATTTTTATTTTTAACTAAAATGATAATTAATTTTAAAATGGAAAAAATAGTAACAATGTGTTGCAAAAATGTGTCAGAAAAATACGTTATAATTTTTTATTTTTTTTTGGAAATATAACCTAAATACAATTCCGTAAATATTATTTACGTTGTTTGATATAAGCTTGACAAATGCAACCAATTGTAAAAGTAATATAGAGGAAATAAAAGTATAAGCCTAATTAAGAAACTTATGAACCAAGTGTCATTATTTTAAATTTATTACCATCTGAACTTAAAACAAAAATGAGGGATTTGATCACAATTGTGAATACCCATATTAACCAAGTCAACACAATAAAAAATTACATGAGAAAGTCAAAGCAAGCAAGGAAGATAAAAAATTTCACATTTTTCGAGATGTTAGTGTACAAGTCCTCTTAATTCTCATTCAAGCAATCAATAATCATTTCAGTTCATGTTTTATAACAAAACCGAATTTTTGAATTCGCAAAAAACAATTTAATTTAAATTTTAATTCTGTGTAATCCTTAATTAAAGCAAGCATTCAAAACGAAAAAATCAAGAAACTCATAATCTTTATTAGTAAAGTATCACTAATTGTACTGCTTGGCATCATTCTCAATTACAATTAAGTATTTAGTATCATCTATGAGTGTCCAATACATAAAAACATGAACTTCAATTGAAAATAAAATTTACAATTATTTAGAGTTTTGATTGAGATTTTTCGCCCTCAATTATAAGAATTTTTTAAATAAAATTATTTTATTAAAATAACCTCTTTTTAACTCATTTTAAAAAAACTAAAATAAAATTTGATACAAGCTTTCATATATTACACATCCCCTTCATATAATCTCGTCATAAAAGGAGCATTCTAGTATTCTACTAATGCAAAAAGAATAATGTAGTACACTACTACATAAATAAGGAAAGAGAATCAAAGTATAATTTAAGTAATAAATATCTTGGCACGACAGGTATAAATAAATAGAAGCTAATATATATTAAGATAAAGAAATGTTATCCTCGAAATAAAATCTATAATTATTTACAGCAAAGCAGTGTGGTAAAATTTATTGGGCATTCACATTTTGTGTTTCTAGTTGTAGCAAACAGAGGAAGCTAACTAAACTAGAAAGAAACTACGTAGAAGAGAGGGAGGGGTTGAATTAATACAAGTGAAGTTGCTAAGGGTGTGAGTAATGTGGGAAATATAGCGTATATATGACAGTAAAATTGAGGCATGGACCAGTGACAGCAAAAATAGCCAAAACACTCATTAATGATATTTTGTCAATCCCACATGTTGGGAAGCGAAGATTGAAGAGTGAAGATGATAGATGAGCCAAAAGTGAGGAAGCATAAGCCAAATCGGTCAAAATCAAACCTTCACCCACCATTCAATTCCAAATTGGTATCTCTATCTCAGAAAACAATAACTCCTCAGAAAAAGAGCCACAAAACTCGATTCCCTCTGACCCCATTGCCGGAAACACCCAACTATCCACCGCGTCGAGTAACATGAATTCGCCTCTCGACTCAGCCGAGTCCAAGCTGTCTTCAATGTTCGGCAGCTCAATTATCTCGCTCAGCTCCGACGGCTCAGGGGACTCTGTTACGGGGTCGAATTTCACCATACCGGCGGCTGCCGTAGCTGCGGCCTGGATGTCACGTGGGGAACACGTGACGGGCCGGGGGAGCAAGTCTGCAATTTCTGGAAAGTTGAGAATTGCTGATTGGCCCTTGATGCTGAGAGCCGCCACGTCGTGGGCTCGAGCCGCCATTTCGGGTGTTGCGAAGGTGCCGAGCCAGATGCGCGATTTCTTGCGCGGCTCGCGAATTTCGGAGACCCATTTGCCCCAGTTGCGCTTTCGTACACCGTGGTACACTGGGTGCTTACTGCAGTCTCTGGGTCTCTTGGGCTTGGGCTTGGGCCTTTGGGTATCATTTTCTGGAGGAGAATGTGACGATGAGGGTGAAGAAGTAGTGGAGGAGTTGCTACTACTGGTGCTGGTCGTGGCGGTGGTTTCGGAGGAAGAGGTTGTTTGTGTCATTGTAACTTTGGAATGGGAATGTTTGGTATAGGGAACACATATAGGGAGTGTGGGTTGAGTTGAGGAACACACCATATGGCGTAGTCTTTTTGTAGTGAACATTACGCTCTCGTACAGCGACCCTTGACCTACCAATAATATTATTTCACACCCTTCATTTTACTTTTTAACCTCCCAATAACTACTAACCCCAAATACATTTTACAATAAATCGAGTGAGAATATAAGCTTCTATTTATCAAGTGAGTATAATAACAACACCTTTTTACTGTGAAATTGAAATTGCTGCTCTTTGTTCCCTTTTTTAAGTGTCTTTGGTCTGTCTTCTAACAGTGAGACTGATATAAAGTACGTTTTTAACGCTTTACACGTGTTTGTGTGTGTATATATATATATATATTGCAAAATTAAAAAAATTGTTTTGTTAAGATAATATTAATTATTATCATTTCATGGATGTCATTTTGACCCTATAAAATACTTGAGTAATTTAAGAATAAAAAAGTAATTAAAATATATGAAATGAAAGGAGTTTAAAAAGAAGGTTTGTCTATGAAATATTTATTTTGACAAGTTATAGTGCATAAAGGTGTGGAGGAAGGATTGGAGGAACGAGTCACTACTAATAGAAGAGGCCCCACAGAAAACGTTCATTATAACAATTCTATCTAAGCCTCATAAGTCCACATCTCCCCTTTCTTGTGCCCGTTGCCGTTGGGATCAAATTGTCTATTGCTTTGTCCAAACCCCATTCCTCACTCATTAAAGAAATTCACAATCCATTCCTGTTCTTCACCTTTTACCTTACACCCTTTGGACAAAGTCTAATGCACCCCCCCATTACTTTTTTCTTGTTTAAATTTCCTTCTTTTCATCTCTTCCTTCCATTTTCTTTCTTTCATTAATTTATGGACAATGACTTGGGATGAAAACAAAGGAATTAGAATCATAACTATCCTTTTGTGAGAAAAGAGGAAGTAGCATATCTATACTCTAGGCCACACTAGGATTTGGATTGTCTAATGCACCATTAGTGTCTTAATCATCCTTTCTAACAAGAGAGGAAGAAACATCTCTACCATATGCATGCTTCGCTTCTGTAGTTGCGCACTTCCAATGCTAAAGCATTACTCTAGAGTTTCAATGCTCTAGATGTCTAATTAGAGCGTAGCTCTTGCAATACATTATTAGATGTCACAATTCAAAATGGACAATAATTAGGAGATTCTTAAGCTCTTGGCTGATAAGAAAAAATATACATAAGTTCAATGCAACCCATCGGAATGTCTATATATGTATGTACATAGTAAAGTATAAATCATGCAATTTCCAGTTTAGTAAACTCTATGAAGGTACGACCACTGATATAGACACTAGTATTCAAGTAAAGTCAGCTATCTATTTTCACAGTCCTAATTGGTTCGTGCCATGGAAATCTTATTTTGTTATTACTAATGGGCTTAATGGAGACCAAAAAATTAATATATATTTTTTTAATGGTCCGGGATAATAATGACTTGATTCCATTATTATCATCCACACAATCATAATAGAGCCTCGAAAACACAAAAGAAACATGATAAAATGAAAACGGACTGCAATTATTTATGCCCAACAACACAGTACAAAGTGATATTTATAAATATATTTTTATATTATTTTTTAATAGGGAGGGACATTCATTTTTCTTAAAGAACAGTATTTTTCTTTAAATTGCAATTATCTTTTCCTCAAAGCAATATTGTTGAAAGCTAATAGATCATTATAAAAAAATATTATTTTTTTACATATAAAAAAAGTAAAATTTAAAAAATCAAAGAAACAATAATAAAAAAATATTATTAAATAATATCGTAAAAATAATAAAATGAGAGATATTAGATAATAAAAAAGAATGAAGATATAAAAATCTATCTATTAAAAAAATATGTTCTCCATAACACAAGAGTCAACGAAACTTTCTTATAATTTGAGCTTAATCCTACACGTTTACTTTAGAAAAATGGATCTGGTTAATGAAGAGTCTTTTCTTATTTGCTGGATGCGGTTGGTCTCCATTATATTAGAATACTCAACTGTCTAGTGTATTTGTCAAATGGTCTTTAAAATTGAATTACTATATGGTTAACTTAAATAAGGGATCTCGACAGATATTTTTATGATACCTTAATTAAAACTACGGCTTTTAAATAAGGGCATTCTCTAAAACAAATTATGAAATTAAAGCAATTCAAAATTTATTGCCAAATATTATTGCAAGCTACTCGAAGAACACTACAATGTCCAAGCTTCCCTTATACCATGCAAATTCTAGTACGTTCAATTCCATCGTCATTTCTGAACCATATGCATGTTATATATTTATTTAGTACATCTTTGTATTCACATTAAAAAGTTACAAGTAAACGTTCGAACATGCACTTAATTTATGGTTTATTCCTTAAGGATTACTGTAGCGGATACATTATTTCTTCAATTTTTTTTAAATGTATCTGTATATTTAATACATAATTCATTAAGTTAATCATCATCAAGTTATTGTGTTATTTGGATTACATTTTGAGATACCAAATAAAATTCCTTTGCTCCAATGTTAAAGTTTATTTAATAAATATTATATAATAAGATATAAGCCAAAGTGATAAAATATTAGTGAGATAGTTTATTATTTATTTTATATTTAGTGTATATTAATATAATAAATTAGATATATTATATTATTCTATTTTTTTAATCAATTTTTAGCTTGGGTTTTTTTATTAGATAAATTTTTTAATACAAAGAATGATAAAATAACCTTAGAGATAAATTTATTATATCTTGTCAATTAAATAAACATAAAAAATAAAATAAGATAAATAAGTACTAATAAAGATGTGTTAATAATAGTATGTTGTATTATAAGAAGTGGATTTAATTATTAGAAAAAATATTATTAATAATCATAACTATTGATGTTTTCATTAATCCTCTGGTTAGTTATATATTTGGAAACGAGAATAGTGATATGGAATAAAATTAAATCTCATATTTGAAATCGAGAGTTAATTTGTAATTTAAACTTAAAATGAGCATACATAAAGGCTTTGAAAATACACCTTTTTCCAGGCAAAATAGAAACTATATAGGCTTTCATGTGATGGCGTCGGCCAAATTATTAAGAGAAAAGTAAATAACACTTTTTATAGTAAATTTATTTTTTAAAAGGTCAAATAAATTTAATAAAAACTTAATTTACAAGATAAATACTTTAATTTTTTTTAAAATAAATTAATTATAAAGAGTATATTAAAGAGTTATTAAAAAAATTACTTTCATTTCCCAACTATTAATCAAGTATCTCTTTTTTTTTCACTTTTATTATTTATAATAGATATTAATCAATTATCTTTAGACAAATTAAAGCTTTCAAGCTTTAGGATCTAACTAGCTTTTAAATTTTCAGTTAATTTTATTGTTTTTAACTAATTTATTTGCTGGCTATATATGTCTAACATATGAAAATTCTTGAAGGAGAGGCGTGCTTGTATTTTTAAAAATATATTTTAATACCTTTTGAAAGTTAAATAATAATTCTGAAAAAAAAATCATAAAATTACTTTCATTCACCTCCTAAAACTATAGCAATTAGCAAGTTGTACAGTAGATATTCTCACATCAATCACCTCCCAAAATTAATCAACTAATTTAGTATAAACATAGAAAATATCATGGGCATTTTGTTTTTATTTCCAGTGCTCCCTAGGATCATATGATCAATGTCAGCACTAGGTCAAACTCTATCCGTGACTTTTTGTGTCTTGTGAAGGGAAACAAGGTATTTTTTTAATTGCTATGATTAATTTTGTTTTTGTCAAATTTAATCCAGTAGATTTATTTAGTAAAATAATTTATTTTAAAAAATTGTAATATTTTTTTAAAATGCGACTTTAACTACTAACATTTAAACTTGTTTAGTTTTTAAGCTATTATAAACACATTTTCAGATCTCAATATCTCCCACGCACGTTACTTTCTTTTTTATTTTATCATGTTTCTCACATTAAGTATTTCAAGCAAATTAAATAGTTAAATGTCCCCATTTTCCTTGGGATTTTTTTAATTCTGACATTGTATTTAAATTAATATTTAACCAAGCTTACATGATCTTAAATATATACCAACCTGAATGCCGTTTACTTGTTACATCAAACAAATATTCTTCTTTGTTGTCAATGATTTCTTCTTGTACGATATATTTGGTTTTCACAACCTACCATGCACTGAAATTATTTTAATTTCCTGATAAACAATATTAAAAAAATATTATTATAAAAAATAATTATCGTGTCATGTAGTTTACTATAAAATGTGAGTAGTGTTTGGTTCCCTTTCCATCTTATAGGAAGGATTCTTTAATTCTTTCGTAACTTGTGTAAAAGTTTTGCCATTCATCTAACTAATTAAATTAAGAATCAAGAAAATGATGCATTGTCTAATTTTTATTTATTTGATATCTGGTTGTTGTTATTTACAATAAAGTATGATCTTGGAAAGAACAGAATAATATTCATGTAACTTCTTTGTTCATGTTCTTCCTAAATACAATATACAATACAAAATTTAAAATAATTTTTTGAATAGTAATCTAAATTATTGCTATGTCTTAACTGTTTAGTCCAGTGGCAAATTTAAATATAGACTGGCTAATGGAAATTCTTAATAAATTCATATTCATCTTTAACAAATGCTATTTGCCAATATTTTAATATTGGAAAATGAGGGATAGTATCAAAATCATTAAACTTGACCCGATTATCAACTCCTTTATTTCTTGTGTCATTGAATTATCGGTTTAATTGAGTTACTAATTTAATTGATAAAATTCACGCGGGCACACAGATAAATAAATAGACAGAATTATAATTAAACAATATTATAGTATATTTGAATAATAATTTATTTAAGCATCTATTTAATATTTTTAACAATAATTTATATCATAAATTTAACAATAAATTTTATTAAAATAAACTTAAAACAATTTATTTTAATAAAATTTATAAAAATACTATTAAATTTAGTTTAATAAGTTATATAAAATTAAAAAAATATCAACTAGTAGTTATTCATAATTTGTTTTAAATAAATCATAAGTGTTAAATTTAGTAAAGTGACATCTCCAATTTCTTTTATTAAAAGAAAAAATTATTAATCCAATAATTTTTAATTTTTTAAAATCATTTTAAGTATATAAAATTTTATGAAGTTGAATATTAATTGATATTTTATTAGTTTACTATTTTATAAGTGATATACTATTTTTTTTACAAAAGAATAACAGATTAAAATCTCAGAGTGGAGACCATAACATTAAATGTGTCCTGGTGAGGGGCACCCCATTTTGCAAGAAAGTCTACACTACAATTCCCTTCTCTCAAAGTATATTCCATGGACGCTTTCCATCAACAACCTATTCTTTAAAATAGAGCAGTTTAAAATATCACTGATTGAAAGAGTAATACACTATTTAAAATACGATGAATAGTTAATATTAAATTATATATGTAAGAGCAGTTTAATTTGTGTGAAAAATTATATATATAATAATTATAATAATAGTATAACAATTAGCTTAATGAATTTATTTTCAATAAAAATTTAATGAATTAAAAGTCTGTCTACAAAGTTTAATAAGTTGATTTCTTTTACTCTTAGGTGACAATATTTTAAGACAAATTAAAATGAAAGCTTCTAATTCAGAGATGGAAAAAGCAATCAATGTGTAACTACTATTTTCTAACTCATTTAACAAAAATATTTTGAGTTTTTTTTTAATCTTTCATAGTAATTAATAGACTAATTTTAAAAAGTATATATTATTTTCAGATAAATAATACGAAATAGATAAAATACCATATATATATATTATCTTTAATATTCTAATCAAGCATTAATTATAATAGTTTTTTTTTCTTTAAGTTAATATGTTGACAAATTAATTACAAAACGGCAAAACTGTTGGGATTGGTTGTTCCTTTTTCCTTTTTACTTTTCTTAAAGCTGTGATTGTTTTCTTTTATAGACATCAAGACATGTCTTGTGAATTTACATGGAATGAACTAATGTACATAAGTGAGAGTATAATAAGCAAATAATTGTTGTATCAGTGTTTTAAATACCTGAGTTTTGCAGTCACCCTCACCCGTCACGCTGGCTTTTTCCTTCCTTACAAAATGTGTAGAATTGAACGTAGTTAATGGTCTTTCATCAATGTACTAATAAACCTAATTATCCTAGTCTTTTATTAATATTATGATTATGATATCTAATCCTTGGAATATTTCTTAATCTCCACCTTTTTAAAGAATAATAAAATATGTAATTATGAATGTTGGTCTTTATAAATTCCATACTGAATTGTTTTTATATATATCGACAATAATGGATTAAATATTTAATTAATTATCAGCAAGACATTCGCCTATCACGGATTTGTCATTTCCTTCGTACGATATCATTAAAGGTAGAATTTGGTAAGTAAAATAATGTCATGTGACACTTGTTATATCTAATACACATACGGGATCTTATAAATATACGCAGAAGAAACTTTCTTACCTAAAACCTTACCAAATCCTCCAAATTAATTTCTCAACATTTTAATATGAAGATCAAGGATTTCGGATTTCCTTTATGTAAATTACAATATCAATATTTTTTTTGTCTCACATAGTATTTTGCAAAATGAAAAGTGTGATCCATTGAAATATCCTTTCAAAACTAATTCAGAGGTATATAACACACAACTCAGTCTCATTAAGATTTGAGAGAAAAAAATGGAGCCTATGATAGTATTAACATGATATTACAACATCGATGACTATTAATGTGCATAGCTGGCAAGAAAAAGTTGATTGATGTCATGTTCCAACTTGGGCAAATGCAGAGTTTAATGTTTTACATATTTAAAATTATTATACGTGCTTCATTAGTTGAGTTGATTATTCTATTAATTAGGGTGTTAGGTTGATTCATTAATTAGTTCCCCATTTGGTCAAGATGTTAGCCATTAAGTTCTTGAATTTATTGAGCCCGTTTAAAAACTTGTTACTTTAACGTGACACGATTTTTAAAAAAATCAATGAATAATGTTATTTCTACACGTTTTACAGCATTGAATAATTTTGACTTGAAAAAATATATTTTATTATTAGTATTATTTTTTTGTCTTCAGTTTGAGCAAGCATATATAACTTTTGACATATTCAGTCATTATTAAATTTCCTTTTGCTCTATTTCAGTTTTGTAGAAAATAAACTAACGGAAATAAAGTGGAAATAAAAGAAGTTAAAAAAAAGTGATTTTTCATTATTTGATTTGTAGTGTAAAGTGAGAGGAAAGAAAGTTATTACTGGCTCTCACTTTTTTTCCCATGCTCGATTGATAAGAAAACTGGGGTCTGTGTTATTTTTAGGCAAAGACACATAACTGGTAACATGAATCTTTGTTTATTTATTTATTTATTCTCTCATTTTCACCTCAATCAAATAAGAGGAAAGATTTTTATTTTTTTCTTTTTTAATTTCTACGCGAGACTGTTTCATTGTGTGCTGAAATTGCTTTTATCTTAAGTAACAAGCCACCGCAATTCAGGACATTAATATAAATATATTTTACTCGGTTAAGGTAAATACATTTTCTTCACAGTCTATTTAAGCAGGGGAAATTATTAACCAAATGCTTGGACAGATTCAAAGTTCTTCTAGCTCATGAATTGTATTATACAACACTTGGTTTGTTCAGGGTCTCTATATTATTATTTATATTATCAACACTTGAAAACTATTTTAAAAAATGCAATTAAACATGCTCTAAATATTTGACACGATGATTCTGCTTAATAATCTAAAAGTATCATATTTTAATGACCACGAAGTCTAGAAATAGATTCTTTTATCACATACTCTTAATTATATATTAAAATTATAAAAATATAAAAAATAAACATTAAATTAAAAGTGTAAAAGAGCAAGACACTTTTTTAACTATAAATAAAAGTAACAACATAAAAGGACCAAAGGGCCTAACGCTAAACGGATCAACCGCAATTGGACACATAAAAATAAAAAAGCCTCTGCATAGGAGAGACATTTAAGGTAGTCAATGGCCCATTTTCAAAATGTTGGGCGTTGATCTTTCTAAGCCCAATTTGTTAATGGTTAAACGTGAAACAATGCTCATTTATTCCTTGAATTTTGGATGTGAGTCCAAGTCAGTTGTATTTGTTGCTCGCAAAGGGGTCTATGACTATGATTATAACATCTCATTTATTGATCAAAGAATGAAGAATGATGGTAAAATTAATAAGCCCCTCAATTGGGTCTTTGTGTTGGATTGGACTTTATATCAACCATTATTTTTGTTCTAAAACTTTGAAAAGAAAGTTTTTGTAATTTGGAGAAATTGCTCTAATTGAAAATTGTAGAGACAAAACAAGGAGTTTGAGATTTTACAGTTTCACATTGCGTTGCATGATTATGTGGAATGGGGTGGTGTTTGTTTGCATAGAAATAAGAAATATGTATTTATGGATGATGAGTAATGAAAATAAAGAAGATTGCATCCTCAAGCTTTTGATTGGGTAGAATGTGAAGGAAACTAGTTTTGTTAGTGAGTTTGTTCACCTAAAGTCCTTATTCTCTTCTGATGACCATCTTCACCTACTATATCAAGCCCTGGCCTTCAAATTCGGTTTAAACAAAAGATCAAATTCTTTTATACCAAAAAATAACACCTAAATTTAGATGAATCTATTTACATTAAAAAAAAAAGGAGAGATAATGAAATGGTTAAAGAACATAAATTTTTTGAAAGGAAGAAAAAAAAGTCAACACCCCGTTGCTTAATATGAGCTAATTAGTTGGTCAAATGCATTGCCAACATCACTTCCTTCCTATATTGATTTGGTGAGTTTTGTCGTTTTGTTAAAACACTAAAATAAAATGAAAGACACATGCAAAATGAAACCCTTTGTTTTTTTTTTTTTAATATTTTTCAGTGTATAATAACTATTAAGAAATAATGATATTTAACTCAATGGTATTTCACTTGTGTTACAAGTCCATGCTTAAGTGCTCTTCACGACTTCCAAGTCTTCTTCAAAAGACGTCCTGATAAATGTCAAGAGAATTTTTAAACAACCAAGTTTTCTTATTTTTCCATTTAATAAACAATCAATTAGAATAATTCCACCCAGATTAAAAAAAATGAATTTCATGTTTGCATGGATAATCTTTTAATGAGTGGGGAGTAATATATACTCTTCACTCAGTAATTGCAAAAACTCGGAGTGGTTTAGGCGCATGACTCCACTTTGCACCAAAGATAGTTACACCCACCAACTTTCTTTCCCCCAAAACATGGCCCATCAACTTTGCATTTTAATACAAAATAGAAAAAAAAATGTGGCTGGGATTAATTAATTAAACCCATATACATTCATTTCTCAAACTCATAACCAATTGTCAAAGTAAGTTATCATGGTTTTGGACCAAACAATTGGATCGGGTCAAATACCATCTCAACTTCAAAATATTGAGTGGCATTGCCATTCATAATGACATAGCCTCATATTCTTATAAATAACCTCAATTTATTTTATAAAAAAATTTCACTTTCACATAAGTAGAAAAAAGTTCGAATCCAATAAATACAATGTTTAAAGGGGAATTTTATTTTTCATTATCGTTCTATCTGATTAATAAAATTAAATAAGTGAATTACTATTTTGACTCATTTGAAACGCAAAGGGCCACGTTTGAGACGTGAGCAACGCTCCAGCGTATAAAAATGGGCATAATAGTAAGCTGAAGCACAACATAAACGCAACGCAACGCAACGACGACGGCACATAACAGAACAGTTAAAAACAGAATTCGAAGTCGCCGGCGAAGAAACACAACTTTACGGCAAGCAAATGATGAGGTCCGGTGACGGCTACGGTATCGGAGTGGATGAGTCGTATCGGGCGCTGCCGTCGCTGTACTTGACCTTTTTAACGATCTGGTTCCTCTCTGCTTGCTCTTGGACTGCTTACACCTACAAAAGTCGCCATTCTCAGGTTTCTCGTTAATCATCCTCACTTTGGCTTAATCGATGTGTTTTCTTTGATAGCTTGCGTGTTGTTTGAATGATGAGGAATGAACTGTGTAATTGTGTTGCTGAAAGTGTGGAAAGAAAAAATGTTTGAGGGAGAAGAGAAGTGAATTCGTTATGGACTCCGTGTCGCTATTCGAGTTTGATCTTTTATTGCTTTATCGATAAGCAACGCGATATGACGAATTTCATGTATTTATCGGTAGCATAAATATTGTTTCTGCGAAACTGAAGAGAATTTTCGATCGAATATGTAAATTTTATTAAAAGCTCTGTGATATTAAGTAGCTTTCGCACTTCGTAAATGAGATAGCGCTGTTATTAAATTCGTTCGTGGTATGCTGTTTTTTACTTTCTTTTGTTCGTTAACAATTATATTCTTTTGTTTTTTGATATTGTTTTGTTAGAGCAGTGGAATAATTTGCAGTGGACACTTACTTCAGTTCCGTTGATTAAAGCATTACAGCTCATGCTATCATTTCTCTTTTGGTAGGTTTTGTACCCTTACTTTGGCTTGTTGAATGTTGTACTGAATTTCTTGCATTGAAGTTAATGATTATTTTTATTAAGTTGATGTTAATGATTGTTATTTTGATTTTAACCACGTGTTGAAGTCTTGGAAAGAGTAGGTAACTCTTGCCTCTGTTGATAGCTCAGGAGACAAATTAAGCGTATGGTTGGAGGAACAGAAAGGGATACCAAATTTTCTATGTTAAGCGAACGTTTCATTTATTTGAGAATCATCACTTCTTTTCTGTAAAAAATTATAACACTTTTCAATTTAGATAATTGTGATAAATTTTAAATGATTACATGCATTAGATACAAGTCGTGCGGGCCTTCTATTGAGCAACTCTGTTTTAAACTTACAAGTCGTTCATTTCACCGGAATGAATGAGCTTTTTGTTTGTCATAATAAACTTTTGGGTTCGTCCTATAGAAAGCAATTGACATGGAGGGAGGAGATAGTATTTTGAAGTGTATTTGTTGGATTGTGATGTTGTCTTTTGTAATGGAGAATTAGTTACATCATAAAGCAGTTCAATTTCAAAATGGTAGGTTAATAGCATATGAAGTCCATTGTCAAGAATCCCCAGTCCACAGATGTATACACGTTAAAGTTTTCTAATTATTCTCCGTGCATTTTTAATTCAAGACTGGACAAAGCATACTTTAAAGTTTGTTTGACGACATATCATAGTAGTGTAAATTTGTATAATTGTATTAGATTATTAGTTCTCTGCTAAATTTACTTCACTGCGTGACACCATTATTGCAGGTATTCATGCTTCAATTTTCAGACATGCTCTTTGTGGATGTCATTTGGGGTGTATGTGACAGGGGTGCTATTCCAGACGATTGCTTTCGTCTCCTTTTTGCTCATTTCTCATGGTTACTGCATCATGTGTGAGCGTCTATCGTTAAATGAACGGCGTTCAACTGCCGCCCTTGCATGTGTCTTTTACTTGACTCTAGTTGGTTACAAGGCTTGTGTGCCATACTTCTCCGTAAGCTTCTTCGCTGGTTTATATGCACTTTAATTTGGAAATTTGTTTTGTCTGTGATTTATAATAAGCATGCATGCTTCTTTGATGCTAATTCATAATTGACCAAATGTACAGGTGCTTCTGCTACTAAATTATTTTATTTCATTCTATATAATATTCCACCATATATCCCAAAACCTACTAGTGTTGCGAGAACAGTTGACCATTATAGAAAATGAGGATATTCAAGCAATGCATGATGCTGTGTATAAGAAGTACACGATGTTCAAGTGAGTGCCACACATCTGAGAAGTGTATATGAGTAATTTCTTCCCAAATGTGATAGATATGCAAACAAGAATTCATACTTAATAGTCAACTTGCTTTCCTTTACTTTGTGCAGGAAATTTCAGGGTGCAATGCAGATAGTAGCTACGGCAGAAACTGTGGTATTATTTCTTGTTTTCACTTTCTAAACTTTAACACGAACAACGATATATATATATATATATATATAAACGTCTGACTTTGACAAGCTTATCAATTTTAGATATATATGAACATGGATGACTCTTCAGAGAATTACTGGCTTCGCTTATTGATTAGAGAATGGGCACAATTGTGCATCTTTGTGTACATTGGGTATGTATATCTGTGTTCCAGTGCAAGAACATTTTGAATTCTCTGAAATCTATATAACTTCTTAATAAAAAAGCACGCTGTATAAGAAAATTGTTTATGATTTTCCTCCATTTTTGTATGCCCATTTCTCACCTTTAAGCGATGTTAATCTATTTCTTCACCTGCAGATGGATCTTCAGGTCACAAGATTTGGCACCACACTTCTCTGTTGTGCCTACCACGAAGTGTAAAGGCGAGAATCTGGTGCCTCCCATCTACAGTATTGTAAGTCACCGATCTACACATGTTGCAGAAGTCATGATTCCAAATAAAAGTATTATTTTAATTGTCATGTGCCCTTGAATCATTTGTAACTGGAATGTTTTCAATTTATTGAATTCCAGTCTCTCTCTAGAATTGGAGCTTCTGCTTGTTCTTGATCAAGTCTTACTTTTTGGAAGACAAAATCTCAATTTATACCTTCTAACGTACTCACTTAAGCTTAGACTGTTAGGCCTCATTCCCATATTCAAATTAGATAATTGAAGAATTAATCTATTGTAGATGCAGTTTGTATGATATTATTCTGTTTTCTGACGGCACTAAGCACCTTGGTGCAGGAAATGGATGCAGCAACGTTTAAAGAATTTAGTAGTCACGAATGGCACGTTGGGGTGGTAAGTGTTTAAAACGTGCTCTCATGTTCTTCAGTAGATAGTTTACTAATTTAGTAATGGTATGTTACATTCTTTAAATGTTTTTCCTAGCAAAAAAATCCTCTAAAAGTTGCTAATTTATATTCCTATAAGCTTTCGGTGACTTCTGTTATTTATTCAATTGTTATTTTCTTATATTCATTATGAAGTTCAAATAATTCGAACAGTTACATCTTGAAATATCTGCCTCTGTAGCCAACTTCTACTTCTCATGATGAAAGCTTAAAAAATGAAGTTCTGGTAATCATTCAGCATCCTCGAGCACAGAGGCTAAGAAAGCTAGACGCTTTTTCTCATAGCGCGGACTGTTTTGTTGTGACAGATCTCAATACAAATTCATCCTTATGCCAAACATAACGAATGCTGCTACGTGATCAGTTATACCTGCATTATATGCCATGCCTTTTTCCTTGCAGTTGGCATGAACTCGATGGTTTATTTATCTTTAATTATCGCACCATCAATTTTTTATCCCTCGATTTAGGAATCATGAGTACGGATAAAACAATTGAGTTTTAGCTCGTTTACCACATGTAGAGGTTAGAGGCAGCTGCAAATATGTATATCAATACATGATCAAAGTAGAGATAACTCTCTATATTCTTCTCAATCCCAGTGTTGGTTACAATCATTTTCAAGAACAGTCATGTCACAGGATCTTTAATTTTCATCTGATACTAGGGTCCGAAAAAGAATATTTCGCAAGCTGGGGCAGGTCTTCGTGAAATCAACTTCCTTTTCTCTTATACTTTGTGAAATCATTTAAGAACAAGATTTTTTTAATAATTCATTTTCTAAAATATTTGTAAAATTATTCATAACGATGATAATTAATAAGGTTTTGACAGGTTATGTACTGATACTAATGATGAAAAACTACCAAAAATAATATTGATTAAAGTAAAATATATAATCTAAATAAAAATTCAAGATAATCTATTTCCTAATTAATTTAATCAAAAAATATTTTAAAAAGCTTCACCTTATACGCATAAAATATAATACATTATGTAGGTATGAATAAAATTAGGTAATATTGCACCCACATCAATAAAAATTACAAAATAACTCAAAATTTTAGTTATATAATTAATATTGAATTAAAAATTACAAATATCGTAAAATAAAAAATGGAGAATAGAAGTTATATAAAATGCTGGCATTATAATAAATTAATTCAGACACTTAGTTAATCTTTAAAAGTAAAAGTTTTCAATTTTTTTTTGTTAATAAAGTTTTCAATTTTTGAACGTTATCAGAAATTCATTTGACTCATTAATACTTAACAAAATTTCGTAAATAGTAAGGATTGAAAATATTCACTTTTAAAAAAAATTAAAAAAAAATCGATGTTTGTATTGAGTCGAAAACGTATTTAACCCAAAAATAATGAGGTGAATTAATCGGGGCGAAAAACAAAGGGGAATAAGGAAGGAAGTTGCAACGTGTTGAATCCATTTGCTTCTGCAAGGCTCCCCAGGAGATGAGTGCCGCAGGTATTTGTTTCTCTTTCACTTTTCATCGTTTGTTTGACAAATTGCTTACAAATTTTCTGGTGAAGTTTCTTCGTGAAAATAATTGAAGACTCTAGATTCTATAGGTTAATTTCTTTCCTTGTTTGAAAAAATTATGCATACGCGTTTGCTTCTAAAAGCAAGATTTGTTATCGCCATGACTGGATTCAACAAGGAGAGAGCTGATTTCTTCGCTATAGCACTATGCATATACTCTTTGCTTTGAAACTTGGATTCCACTCTCTGAAATTTGTAATATCTAATATATAATAGGTGGTGCATTTGGTGGCAATCGGGGGCTTCGTCCAGTGCCTCCCGAAAAGGGAATATTCCCATTGGACCACTTGCATTTATGTGACCTGGTTTGCTTCTTCTCTCAACTCTCCTTCCACATCTTTAGCTTTATGGATTTGTGCCCTTGCAAGTTGTGTGTTGTTCTTAGACCTTCATTCTTTTTTTTTTTTTGTTGATTTTGCGTTTTATAGAACTTTCTTCTTGTACTTTAATTCCCGTATTTGCCTCATTTCAGGAGAAGATAGAATATCTCAATTGTCTAAAAACTGCATCACACCAGTCTGAAAAGTGCAGAGACTTCTCAAAAAAGTACTTGCAGTGTCGCATGGAAAAGTGAGTCGGGTTCAATGTATTACTGATCATGGATATTTTGGAGTTATTAATGCACGATTTTTTTCCCCCCTTGTCATATTGGTTTTTAGCAATTGGTGTGAAATAGGCTAGCCTTTGGAGCTCAATAATGTAGTGTAATTTGATGAGTAAGTACCTTTCTGAAATAATTAATATCTTTAGCGGATTTGAATTTTAAGTGTCCAACTGAATGAAACAAATTACACATACGTCCATACAAATTACCTAATTATAAGAATAATTACCTTTATACCTCAAAAAAAAGAAGAGAGAGACAGCAATGGCATGGTAAGGTGTTGGGTCATTGCGTGGAGGATTAAACCTGTGATTCCACTAGCATCCATTATTAATCTTTGTGCCTGGGATGTAGTTTTGTCGTTGTTTTTTTTTTTTTTTATGTGTATTGTTTTTATGACTCTAGGAATCTATTTTAGTTGTTCTGTTTGCATAGGAGCTTGACTAGATGGTAGATTGGTACTTACAAGTAGAATGCCATTTATCTAATTTTGTCCAACATTTTGCAACGGAATGATGAAATCTCATCTTATATAATCCAAAATAAGTCTCATCATAAAAATTTGAAGCTTGACTTGATCCGTTTTATTGTTCCTTTATAATGTTGATATATTATGCTCTTGGTATTATATTTGGTATGTATAGTTCTTAGGTTGTTTTGAATAGAATTATGTTATAAATGGATGTTCATGAACTGTATATATAATTGGCATCTTGCAGGAACTTGATGGCAAAACAAGACTTGGCTGAACTTGGTTTTAGAGAAAGTAATGTAGAAACTTCTGGGGGGAAAGTTGCGGAGAGGATTGATAATCGAGACCAATAAACCCAAAAAATTATATATGTATATTGCTTTTGAGGTTAAGTTTTGGTAATGCCAGATTTTCTTTTCTCATTCTATTCATTTGACAAGTAGACGCCTTACCATGCACTGTGAGTTTGCGATGGTGTCATTTGGATAGCACGGCACTGAACAGAAGATGATGGACAGACTGACAGAGTTTGTCTCATTCCCTCTACAAGACGTGGTAATTATATGGAAGCAGATAACTAATGCAAAGAGGCATTTTATTGTTCACGGGTTTTGTTGCTAATAATGATGTAGTGAGCGAAAAGTATCTATTATCTTAGCAATGATCAGAGAATAGATGGTTCAGCCAGTCTTAGAATTGGTTTGAAACAAGTTCTATGTTTTTTATTCAATGAAAAGCGATTTTTTGAGCCTAATAGAAACTTAATGTTAAACTACAAAGTTAACGTAGTTATTATATTATTATTTATCATTTTATTGTTAATTTAACGTTTTACTTTATTTTTATGGTAATTCATTATATGATATTAAAATATTTAATTATCGGTGTTGATCTAAGTTCATGTCAGTCAAATAAGTGAACTAGGATATTTAATAATTCAATTCCCGGTCTAATGCAAAAAAGTGAAGCGCATTTCAAAATTCTGAGTGCAGTGTAATTTTGTCAAAATCAAATCGAGATTCATTTATAAATTTATACTGTACCAAATAGGCAGATATTAAAATGTGTTTTGGATATAAAAGTCGAATTCTTTACGCGATTAAAATTGAATACGGAAATGACATTTAAAATGTCAATGGTTTGTTTATTCTTAACTAATTTTCGAAGGTTGTTTATTAACCCTCTATCAAAATGATAGAAGGAAAGAAAGAAAAAAAGATGTTCACTACCCCTCGATTTCAGATAATTGCAATTGTGGAGTGATGCGACTTCATATAATTTGGACCATTGAGTTGAAGTATATAATTTGGACATTGGACACCATATAAGCTCTTATTTATTTATTGCGGTTTTTCATGTTTGCAATATGTATTCGCTGTGACTAGTTACAAAAACATCGGAAGCAAAACGAGTATTAGGAGCTAAATCCTAGGTGCAATGAGATTGAGCATCATCATTCATCATTAATAATGAAGTCGCTTAATTTATTAATAAAATTAGTATCTCTCTTTCCGTGCCTCGATGGCACCGTTCCTAAACTACTCCATTATGCATTATTTATCTGTTCCAACATGCTTGATGTTTTCCCTTTTATCTTCTCTTACTTTTCCCCTTTCCATGGCTTCTCACTTCAATCTGCAACATCAACTATTCAACTACTTGTAAGCTTCCTCTTTTTCTATGTAGTTGCTTTAACGTTAGCATGATCCAAAATGATATCATGACCACTTATGTTCTGAATGAAGTATTATATTTGAAATATATATTAAAAAATTACATATTAATGCAAAGCTCAATCATGTTCCATTTTGAAGATTTTGGCAGACTATAGACAGCATAATGACTAAATTTCTGGGTTTAGAGTACGAGCTACCGAATGGGATGTAGTTTCGATTTTTGTGTATATATTCTTTTGATATCCTTTATATGCTCCATTATGAAATTAAGGATTAGGATCCTCTCATGTAGAAACTTCATTGCAGAGGCGTGTAGTGCTCAATCTGTCCATTAAAATTTATTAATATATATTATTTAATAAAAATTAATTTATAAAATATATATTTGATGGTTGATATTTAATGCAGTGATAATGTCACTGCAAAAGATCTCTTTCCTGAAATTAAGCTCTCTTGTTTGTTATTTTCCCTGTCTACTAAATCTTACCTAGAAATAAACCAATTATCCATTGAATCAGAGTCAACCAAAAAAATTGGAAAAAAAGAAAAGAAAAGAAAAAAGGAATCACAAAAGTTGTTGGAAGGTGGTAGCCTTTTCTAAGAGATTAATATTTTTTCAACTGTTTAGTTATATTGCCATATATGTGAGTGTGTATGAAATCAATCAGGGACTTACTATATTGATCACTAGTTTCAAATATATTGTTTTCCCCTAATGTATGTGGTGCCAATTTTTTCCTGATCTGCCAACAGCGGATCCTTTGGATTAGACATCAGAAAGAAGACAACGGCCTATGCCCTTCAACATGCCAATTTAAATACCATAGGTGAAGGAAACAACATCTATTTGAATAGTGGCATGTTAGTTGGATCTTTGTCTAGCTTCTGCACATCCTTAAGGAAGTGCTCATCATTGGCTGCATCAGCTAAGACTCATTTTTCCTGTACTCATCATAGCGAAGAAGCAGAAAAGGTTACTAATGCTACGTCCAATAGTCAGGGATTGGAATTTAATAGGGTGGATTGTGTTGTGTGGGTATTGCATGAATCTTCTAGGAGCTTTACCCAAGCAGTTGGGTCACTTGGACTAGCAAAGAATGGTCCAAGACTTGCAATGGCTTGGATTGGGAAGGATGTGAATGAATGGCATAGACGTATTGCTTATCAGGTACATGCAGCCAAATGTTTGGTCTCCTCCAAGTTTCTTTTTTTTTTTTTTAATATTATTGGCTGACAATTTGTGATATAAGCCTGTTAATGAAAAAGTGCATATACTTATTTTCTGCCCTGAAAAATTATCATGGATAGTTGATTGGATCTAGTGAAAAATATAACTGATGACACGCTTATGCAGGTTGCAGTTTATGCTTTAATGAAATCAGCCATTGATTTGGAGATGTTGCTTTCACATGAACTACTGAATGACTTTTCCCCTGTTAAAGAGATGTAAGCTTTTAGTGTTTTCTTTTGCATACTCAATAAATAACATAATTTTGGGAGGTTGCCTTTTCTTGTAAATAGTAACATTGACATATATACTAGAGATGTAATACGCTAGACTTTTATCAACTTCCTATGATTGAATGAATAGTTGTGCACCATATTATATTATATTTACTATTTCTACTTTTTCCTTACAAGTTATGGCAAGTAATAGTTAACGTGAAACTGTCAAATACAACTGATTTAAGCATTGCTCACATCTCAGTTACTTTTCCTCCCTTGTTTCAGTTTGACCCCATTAATAAATCAGATGGGAGAGCACATTGAAATCCGACTGAAAATGAAGCATCCATATTTGGTGCAGTGGTTTCAAGACACCGAAATGCCGCGAATAGCAGGATATTTTATTCCACTTCTAAAAAAGTGGTCTGCGGAATATGCAGGAAGGTTTGCTTGAAACAACCTTGTTTTCAGAAACATATATTTGAACCTTGGATGAAATCCTTATTATTGGTCAATGAAAGTCTTTGCATTGACATGACTTCCAAAGTTATTCTTCAAGTTGATGATTTTATGTTCATTTCTGTTAGATTCAACAAATATTCAGCAGAAGGAATTTAGCCTGACAGAAAAGTATTCAGCGGTATTGCAGGAATTGTTTTGGCCATAACCTCCTGTTGTGCAGTGGTGAAATTGGGCTCTTGTCGTATCTGCTGCCCCTTGCTTGTATTGTCTCTTGAAGATGTTTTGGTCAAGCTCGTGGATTTTTCACTCAATCTTGCATCTGTGGACAAGTTACACCAGTTAGCAACTGAGGCAGGATTTGAACTGAATTTCTTGTTCCATTTTGGTGGGAAGGTTTTTCCTAGTGAAAAAACCGAGGACCTAGAATTTTGGATTGGTTTGGCCCATAGGAAACTATTGAAAGCTTTTTGTGAAGAAAGCATCATTTCAAACAAGCAAAATTTTCAGCAAAAGGTCAACTTGCAGACTCATACAGAAATTCATGGATTCATAGAATAGAACTTAAATTTGAGCTTTAGAAACTTGTCTCATTCATATTCAATAGCAGAAACTATTAGGCAACATATTTTGGATCAAATATCAGTCCTTTTCTCTAGATGCACAGTTGACTTGAAGGGCATGCTTCATCATTGTGTATTTCTTTTTCAGCTTTATAAAGCAGAGAGAAGATATTCCTTGTCATGCTTTACATGATCACATGCCTGTTAAATATCCAATCTTGTCAATCTCGTTTTTTAATAGGTGCAGTGGTTATTTAGCACTCTGCATTCAGATAGTTGTTTATGGTGTAACTTTTACAGATTCAAACAGATAGTTTGGCCACATTAGGGCTTTTTGCATATCTTGGAAGAAAGACTAGAATATTTTTGTCGGCAATGGGAATTAGGGATCTTGATGAAATGGTTAAGGAATTCCTCAGGTTGATCTCTTTGCTCGTTTGTTACATTTTAACCATTTCAATTTTCACCATACTGATACTGAAGATTTATTTCTTTGGTTTAAGTTACTTGGAATATGGCATTCTTTTCATTTATCCTGAATTTTCCTCCATCTCAGTGTATCAGTGTTTCACGGAGGTTAGTTTCTGTTACTTCAGCCAACCCTGACGTAAAATTAAATACCTTTTTTATATTGAGATTAAATGCCACTAATTTTAATTTATACCGTCTTTCAGGTAGTAACTGATGAGATAGGATGGCTTGATTTTTATGCTTCGCATGTTCAAATAAACTGCAAGGAGAAAAGGCCCAAACATAATACTCGCCAAGCAGAGAAAGAGATAATTTATTCTGTAGTTTTTACTGTGTGCTATGATGTTTTCTCTGGGTTTGCACACTTCAATCGTTCAACTCAACAATCCTTGGACACGGCTTCATTGTCATACTTGCTTCGCTGGTAATATTTAATTTATACATCAGTTTACTGGTTTAAGTTTCTTTGTCTGCTTATAGTAGCTATTAACCTCATACGTTTTTCTTCACTTGTTAACATTCTTAGTCAGAGGTTGCTAAGTATTTGTTTGCAAGATCACTGGGCTGCTTATGACAAATCAGGGTAGGCTGGTTGGATGGATTCTTTTGCTCATCATTTTCTCCCTTATAGGCTGATTTCTAAAAGGAGGAGGAAATAATTATAATTGAACTTGTGTTCTATTTGCAGTGAATCACCAAGTATTGTGGATCATGCTGCATTTGACAACCACACATCATATATGGGAGGTATAAATCAATCCAAGTTATCTTTGGTATTTGAAGTGCGTCAGATGTCACGCGATTTAACTTCAGAAGGATGTTCAGAGAGTAATTTTCGAACCAGATCTATATTAGAAAAGGTATAATATGTAACACAAGTTTGATGCATAAGATAACCACGGGAAACCAATAGCCTACATTTTGAATTAGCGTTTTCAAGTGTTAATTTCTATATGCTCTCCTTTTAGTAACCAATGTTTGCTCATTTTATTTTTAATATAGGCTCCAATTGCAGCAATCAAGAACAATAAAACATATGGGAAAGGTTCCAGCATTGACATGTCAAATACTCTGCATGAAAGTTTTATCAAGAGATACAGTATCAAGTTGGCATCCACAAGTGCAGTAAGAGTTCTAATAACCTGTTCCTGGTAAAGCTGTGGATTTTCTTGACTTTAAGCTCTTAATCTGTGGGAATATGTTTCTAGGACCTCTGGATGGGTACTGTGTTGCTCTTCATGGACATCATGGTTGCTTTAGAGGTACTTGTAAGGCAAGCGCATGGCTACAAGGCTTCAAGAAGTCAAAGAAAAAGGCTAAACAGAACCAAGACTGACATAATTGTGCTAATTCCAGTGACAATCTTGATGCTACTTCCGGTTAGCTTCTTTAAAATCTTGATGCTGTATGACTTCTGGTTTACTTGCTGTTTCCTTTTATGTGGATTAAAATGAACTACCTGTGTTTGAGGTAATGAACCCTAAGTTTCGAAACTTGAGTGTGGATATTTTGTTAAACTTTTATGGCTTACCTTACGTTTCAATTGCTTTGGTTTGTTGAATGTTTGCCATGTTTACATATCATACATAAGGGGAAACATAATCCAGTACAGTTTAACTAATTGTCACATGGAGGAGAAACATGTGGAAGTATTTCAATGAAACTTCATTGTGTACCAGGTAACAGCAGTAGGCCATGCAGCTATACTAGCAGCTATCAAGAAGTATATGCCATTCTTGGTAAATTTTTTGCAGCCTTTTCCGCGTGATTTTCATTTATTTTCTACACTGTTGATGCTGCTTGCTATTGTATGTAGATCCCTTCCTCATATTCTTCAGAGCGCTTGGATGTTGTAAAGCAAATAAAGCAAACCAGAGAGATGGGTGATCAGTCATGGGGAGGCCTTGAAGATCAATCAGCAACGGTTTCTTGAGTATGATAGCTTGTTACATTTGGGTCAGTGCTTGATCGTTCAAATCAAACTTTACAATGACTTAGTCCAAAGCCGAAGAGTTATTCTTGCAGCAATGACAGGGAGAATATCGTGATTGAAGACCAAGAAAACAACTTCGTAATCATCTATTTGTTGATTTTCTAATAAATAGATGACCACGTAATTTAAATGTTAGAATGGACGCGTTTCAATGCTCAATTTGGTTACTCTCAAAAGCTTGTTTAATGAAATGCATATGTGGACTCATCCATATAGATCAAAATGCCTTCAGTCGTTATTATTATGTGCGTGCGATTTACCAGCTCTTCTCCTTTGTAATTGAAGACATTTATTTGAGAATGGTTTTATGGTTTTATGGTTTTAAGATTGTCTTTCTATCAGAGCTTGTCTCTATGGTGAACTGTTTGCTATCAAACAGTGGTCTAGAATTTGACCGGATTAAAGCATTTGAAACTTATACAAACCTGATGGTGCTGGTCCTTTTTGGAGCTGTATTAACTTGTTTGAGGGTCATCCTCAGGGCCTATATATCTTTCTAATAAATCTTCTGTTCTTTCCTACAGCTTGAGCTCTGGTTTCTTTTCCCATGTGTACATAATGGATACCGATAAATATTAATAAAGAAATCGTGCAGCAGCTACAGCAAAGTTTTCATGTAACCTATAGACCATTTCGCCGGATCACACATAATGGATACCGATAAATATGAATAAAGAAATTTGAAAAATCTGAGAGTTGTATTTTACTTGGCGCCTGAATTACAGTAGCAAAATCTCAACCATTGACTACATACACGACATGCTCATGAAAATAAAACAGTACAGTGCTACACAACATTCTCATGCTAAATTCTAATTAAAATATGAAGTGGTAACCATTTTGAACTTCTTCCATGTCCAAAATGTTTTCCATTTTATTATTTTGTTGTCAACTTGGACATGAAGAATATCATCTATAATGCTCCATCATGGTAAGAGAAATCAACTTTTTGCACAGTAAAGCAAACTATAAACCGTTTGATCTATTCATGTCAAAACAGCAGCACTACAACATCGTAAATATCTTCCACAGAAGCACCAGATCGAAATTTCAAATCACTCGCCTTGAATCACGAGAAGAGGCAATATGGTCCTACAAGCATGAAACAAGGTGATCATGTCAATCCACCAAAAGCAAAACAGAACATTCTAATGAGTAATCTATATTATGATGCACGCCAAAATGTAAAACGGGACATCACCCCATCAATTTCAATTCTTCCCAAAGCACACTTTTTCATATACTTGCATGTATTAAAGATTAAAAATTACCCGTGTCCCATGCATAGCATGAGGGACCGACTGGGAACTTGTGACAATATAATAATAAAGTTTGTTAAATAAACCAACTATACATGTGTAAAACCAAGTGGCTTGTTTCTGAAGATAAATCAGATTTTAAAAGATTTTAATTTCACTCAAGCTGCAAAATTTAACACTAACAGATTTATATTTCACAAACCAGTCTATTCAAACCAGACCCTTAACAAATTAAACCAGTCACAGCTATGCATAAAATATTTACACCAAACTTACCGAGATAAAATCAAAAGCTTTAGTTTCTTCTTTCTTTGAAGTGTTGATCATTGAGCTTGGAGTTTGAGTTTGAAAATTTGGCTGAAATATGTCTGGCAACGGTGTTCTTCCATTGGGTCCAGCCATTTGAGTAATACCATCATTTTGCATGTTGACATTACTAAGGTGTTGGAAATTAGCCATTGTTGCTAAGAATTGTTGCTGAGCCAAGAGAGTACCCATGGCGCCATAATTAAGAGACTGAGAAGGATAAGGTTGGTTCAACATGAAACCAGGCTGCATATTATAAGGCAGAGGACCAGTAGGAAACATGGGATTTACATTGAATCCGACTGGCTGAGAGCCTAACATGCTACCTGAAGTATTGTCAGGGATATGATTATTTAAACCTGAAAATAAAGATTCAGCTTGCACGGAAGGAGATGTTCCCTTCTGCTTAATACTTGAGGTATTTTCATCCATTGACAAACCAGCCATTAAATCACTAACGAACTCCTTATGGTTTCCTTGTTCAGAGTTGGAAGCAAAAATGTCAAAAAGTTGAGGATCACTTCTATTTCCCAGCCCATGACTCTCATGATCGCCCTGTTTATCACCACCAATAGTCATCCCAGAAAAGAGATCATCTGCTTGTTCTTTGTTCTCGTCTGTATGGAATGATACATCAGCAAAGGGATCATCATCATTTTTCAATTCATGACTACCTCCAATAGAGCCGCTAAAATCTCCAAATAAATCATCAACCAGAGGAGCAGATGATGTCAAATTGGCTATATTTTGATCAGTTGTGCTCTTTGAAGTGTCGTCTGTTCTGTGATAGTCATTTGAATCACCAGTGTCTATTAAGTCAGGCAGCTCAGCAACAGTAGCACTATCTGTATTCACAGCCTTCTCTGCATTAATTGCAGAGCTGTTCAGTTGGTCTTCACCTAAAAGGCCAAGAACCTGTCCATCAAGGGGCCAATTGCTAAATTAAATTACAAAGGTTACTTTTAAACTTATTAGCTGACATTTACTAAGCAACCTAAGCTATTACTGTTAAAATATCAAATAAAGTTATAAATGACACTTAGCGTAATTCATTTCTTGTATATTGATCAATAAAAAGAAGATGAAATGTAAAATGATTGAGGAGATGAAACTTTCATGTTTTTACAGTTCATTTAGATTGATAGGACGGGTACCTTCATAGCCTTTTCCCTCAATGAGGCTTGAGGAGATTCAGAACAACTCAGCACTACATCCTTATTTTCAGCGAAGTAAGATGCCACATGAGAAAAATTATCATCATCCTTCTTCCTAATGATGGACTCAAGGACACAAACAGCTTTCATGCGAACCTGAAAATTTATTCTCATTAGAAGTTAAAGAAAAAAAAAAGAGTAACAATGCAAGGCCTTCTCAAAATTCTTAGTTAGTCTTCACTTGTACATGATGGATATATGCAAGATTCCAAGGTCTAATAACACATAAAAAAGGGGTAACAAATGCTTAAATTAAAATCCTATTTAATTTAAAATGTTTTACCACTAGAAAAAGACTGAAAACCATCTAAAGTTGTTTGATCACGTGCAGAGAAGACAATTGGAGGCACTGGTGAGAAGAGTGAATGTTTAGTTCAGTAAAAAATGGTAGAAGAAGACTTCAGAGAACCTTAAAGAAAGTTATTAAAAAAAATCTATTGATAAATAATATTTCTAAGAATTTGGTATTCGATCAAGGTCATTAATGTCATGTGATTTATGTAGTCGACCTCTGCTAGTAGGGTAAAGTTTGATTGTAGTACCACCAGAAAAAAGGTCTTACAATGTAAAGTTCCATTATATTGTGATACAAAATAATTGAAAAAGAAATTTAATATGCAGATTTTAAAAATTCATTTAAATGAACAAATGTATTTTTGTAGTTCATATGGTCTTTCATGTGCGAATATATATTTTTGCAGAAACATCAACATAACAGACATGCCTGCCAAATTGGAGATTGAAGCCTTTGTTCAAAGGCATGACATAAAGCCAGCGCATCCAACTTTGCAGCCTCTGTCAGGAAAACTTGAATGGCATCTCGAGTGGGTTGCAGTCGAACACCTCCTGAAGTTACGATTGTCTCCAGCAACCTATCCTCCCTTGTCTTACTCTCTGAATAACTTGCACCAGATTCCCCATTAGATGTTTCTATCTTATTTACTCTTGAATCCTGATTCCAAGGCCCAGTCGATTGATTCTTTGAAACTCCAAAACTACTCTGAGTTTCATTATGGTATGCAACCGGTTCATATCTGTCACCATGTTCATTTTCAAAGGTCAATGACCGTCGAAGATTTGGACTCTTGTAGCTTCCAGGATCATTCTTCATTAGCGAATGTCCCTGCGTTAAGCTATTAAGTCCTTGCTTAATTGATGCACTTCCAATACCAACTACCTCACTGAGAAAAGATTTCTTATCTTCCGATGGTGGTTCATAATTTGTATTACCAAACCCTTGTATCCGCCGGTTTAAATCTTCAGCAGGTGCTGGCTTATTGTTGTTGTCTTCCGAAAAAATGGCAGAGATAGCCTCATGAGCAGTATCTCGAACAGCCTTATTTAGTGCATCACCTTTCAAAGGATCCAACTGCCCCTTGTAGTGAAACAATTGACGAACTGCCACTGAATGTCTCTGCATTTCCCTTCTGAACTCCACACCAGACTTTCCAACTGCATATTTTATCAACCTTAAAGCCTATCAACATCAACAAAAAGAATAAAACATAAAGAGTTAGAAAAAATCTTTGATACAATTTACGAGTTTTGACACCAAAACCATTATGATCCCTTTTCATATCACCATATTTAACCTTCCACTGCATAATAACAAAGTTGATTCCATATATTTCAAATCCACTATCTCTTCCATGCCCTATTCAATCAGCTATTTCAAAAACTCCGCATTCCCCATAACCCCATAAAATAAAAAAAAATAAAAAAATAAAAACTTTGAATCATTCAGATCCACCTAATCCAATCTAAACCAAAATCAACAACTACAATTGCATGTACCTTCTGTTTCACAATTGGGCTCTTGTGCTCTAAACGTTTTAAAACAAACTCTGAAACCTCCTTCACAATACTAACATGCGAAGAACGCAAAAGGTCACAGATTTCTTCCAATTTGTAAACGGGTGTGACTTTATCTTCATCGGACGTAGCTGAATCGATCAACCGCGACCTCCAGTACGATTCCACCGCTCTTCTACTCGATTCCATTTTCCCCCCGAATCACAACAACCCCACTACGCACAAACCTACCCAGTAAGATTTTAATTTATATGTATCAACTTTGCAATCCAAGATGCGTGCTATTCTCTGAATCAGTTGGAAATTCAAACCCAATCGAACGGCCACGGATGAATCGGGTTGGGGTTAATGAAAACCCAGATGGAAAACCCAATCGATAGTTTGAAAAGCCGCAAAATTTTGGGGTGAATCGGAAGTCGAACACGTAAATTCGAGATTTGGGGTTTGGGGAAGAATCGAAGGCGGTGATTGAGAAAGAAAGGACGATTTGTGGCACCAAATATCACATTTGTTGAGAAAATGGATTTATTAAATGAAGTTTCACTTTATTTTTTTTCTTGGGTCAATTGGAAAAAATAAACAGTTCATATTTTTTTAGCGTAAAACAGGGCTATTTATAAAGAATGGTATGATGAACAAAATAAATAAAATTACGTATTATAGTTTTGGTGGTAATAATAATAATAATATCTGAAGTAATTGTGTAACAGTGTAATCAAATGTTCATATCTTTTATGTGTCAAATAATAATTTTTTATTATGGTATAATTATGCAGTGTTAAAGTGTTTAGAACCCTTCACCATTCTATAAATAAGAGGCAGCAAAGGAGATGTGAGAAGAAGTATTCAGTTTCAATCATATTAAATGATAAGTGTTTTATTATTAATTAACAAATAATACAAATGGTTAATAAATGTAACTTAATTCAACCCTTGAATAATTTCATCGAAGAAAAAAGAATAATGAATATGCTTATAACAACAAGCAAATTGACATAAAAAGATAGTAAAATATTCTTGCACTCTATATAGTCTTCTGTTTTCAGTGCGTTGTTAATTTTTACTTTATCTCTTGTTTACTCTTAAAATAAAATCTTAAAAATCAATGTAATGTAATCAGTGTGATATGAACCTTACCCGTCACAACAGTGTGATATGAATACTATTAAATGAAAAGGTAACATACCAAAAAAGTGTTATTATTATCGTCATAACATATTTTGCGATATAGTATCGTATTTATTAATATTTTTATAACATGTCCACATTAAATGTTTGTAAAATTTTACATAAAATTTCATATTTGTTACAATATTATAAAACCTTGATGGGCATGATAAAAATATGGTTAAATGTAATTTAATGGTGGAATAAACTGAATTTACATGACAAATTATACAATTTTAATGTGACAATGTTTATAAAAATTTCCTGTTACTGACTTCGAATATCATTCAACCTAATATAATAATAAATAATTGTTAAATGTTTTTTGTGTCCACGTTTTTCACGCGCCTTAGGCCAAAACGACAGAAAAGTAGTTAGGAGATAAAATTGATTAGAGGTAAAAAGAATATTCAATTTATCTCGTTATTCAATAAACATTTGTATATTTGATCTAAATTTGTTAAATTAATTTGAATGAATCAATGTGAAAATAGTTGAGGATAAAAATTGATTTACATTTGAAAATATTATTTTAAAAGTGAATTTAGACAAAATAATTTATTTAAATAATAAAACATAAACAATTTTTTTAAAATTCTATACCATTGATAGGTTCATAGCCTTCATTGTTCAGTTTCCTCCTCCGTGTTGAAGTTTTTTATTTATTAATAAGCGTTCCTAAAGTATTAATTAAAAAGCTAAAACTAAAAAGCTTTTATATAAAAAATTATAAAATAATAGGATTTTTCAGTACACTTCATTTCAAAGATGCGTTTTTGGGCCCCTTTCTCTTTTTGGGCCAATTTCTTGAGAAAGCCTTTTTCTGATTTTTGAACAATTATTTGATTATAATTTAATTTTTGGTCTTGGAATACAATTTTCTTTCTTTGTCAGCTCTGTCTCATTGCCAGGCCCAAACTTACTGATTTTATTCATTATCACCCTTACCCAGGTCAGCCCATATGCATGATATTGACAAAAATAAAAAGGAAATGCATTTCAACGAGTTGACCTTCTTTCTAGATAAATAATAATTTCTAAATATTTTCTTTAAAAGTTAAAATAAATTAATTCAAACATACAGTAAACCTATGTTTTGATTGATAAGAGATAAGATAACGAAATAAAATAAAATAACATTAGATAATTGAAAATTAGATGAAATGAAATTTATCAAAACAGCACATCTCGTTTACAATTACATTATATTAATGTTTCTTTCTAACTAACAATAGTTGATTATAGTAAAAGTACTAAACTGTGATTTCATTCCAATGTTACATGTAAAGTCAAGGGTTCAAATTTCAGAATCTCCAATGTTCGTGGGACATTTAGTCAAAGCCTGAAAACTATTAATGAATTTTTAAGTACTTATAATATTATGGCTATTCATTTTTGGCCCTCTGTTTTGTAATCTATGATGGAATGGTTTTTTTATCCATGGAAATTTAAATTTTTCAACCATTGAAGTTAATACAAGCTTAGCTATACCTACTAACCAGAATAAACTGAAACATTGCAAGCTATAGGTTATAGCCTAAAGGGCCTTTGCTGTCATTTTGTTTCCCACTTCGATCCATGTTTTGTTGTCTGCTATTAAGATCCATTATTGCATATACAACTCCATTCCTAAAAGGCATCCAAAGGAGATTTCTCATGTCGAATTAAAATTAATATTAACGGGTTTTAATGAAAAACAAAACTCTAACGAAATAATATTCTTTTGGGTATTTTCCATGTCAAATGGCATGCCTTTAGATGTGAAAGTGATACTTTTATAACAAATGGGACATAAAAAAATGTTCTCCTTGAAATTGAAAGCCAGATATTCCTATATCATTTTGATTTTGACGTGGATCTAAAATCACATCTCGCAACAGAGAAGTTATATAGTTAAAAATAATTAAAGTTTTACATAGATTAACAATAAATTAAAGGGTATATAAGTAAGAGTGTTATCACTCTAAATTTAAGCTATTCACTCAAGTTAAAGTTCAATCACTCTTCTATTCTTTTTTTTATCAGACTTATGTTCAAAATTTTAATACATATCCAATTTTATTATGACGAGGGGTTCCATTTTTGTTGAACGTTATCTACGCAAAATTTACAAACTTTATACGTTTTACTAAATTGGGTTCTAATTATGTACACGTGAGATAATTAGAAATTAAAGAATTGATTATGGCCCATGTTTCTTTATTTTATCTATCAACAGTTGGCAGATAAGGATTCCAATTGACTAGTAGCTTATAACTAGCAATTTAGACAAAAACATGTGTTGGCATCACAAAAATACATCAGCTACAAACCTACTTTGATTAGCATCCTAAGTGTGTGCCAAGCTCTCTTGGTTTAAACATTAACTTCAAATTTTTTATAAATGGATTGAAAGAATATTCATTTACCATTCTCCTTCTCTTTTCCTCTCCTTGGATCCTTATGCATGTATCACTTTAATGGTACAGCCTCTCTTAAATCCTAGTGGAGTTATTATATTACTTTGAATGGCTGGTTAATGGTATGCCTTATCTAAATTAAACTTTTTAGGAAATTTTAGTATTACAGAGAACGGTTTCTGCAGCTGAATCATTTGTGCTTTGGAATGGCTGGCAATTTAAATTCTGTTGAAAATAGGGGTTACAAAGGCCAGCGCATGGACCTTTCACTATCCTCTTCACCTTCAACTTTTGGCCAAACCTAATGACAAAAAATCACATGTAGATATCCAAAAGCACCTTTTCTTTCCTCTTTGATAACGTCAAAAAATAATGGCTTTGTTTACTTTAGTTTCAAAGGCAGTTTAAATAAATAAAGGTAGTAAAATTTTGTTAAAAAAATATTTATTATATTTTCAATAAAAAAAATACTTATTATGAGATTGTTAAACACAAAACAATGCTAAAAGCTAATATCAACATTTTTTAAATAACTAATAATGGATCGTCGGTCCATATAAATTAACGATGATATATAATCATAATTACCCAAACCCCTTTTTTTATATGTATAAAAAAACTTTTTAACAAACACAAGCACCAAAAAGTTCAGAAGATTTCTTTGCTTAGCACCAATTAGCCGACCACTTTCCATAATATAGACTTAAACAACACATTAATTACTTAAAATTATAAACACCCACAAATTTCTATTCACTCATTTTCAAATTCCACGACCTCTTCGCCATTTTTAAGAGCATGGCCGGTGCTATTTGTGGCCCAAAGTTATTCATGTTCTCCACTCCTACTTTTCTTTTATGATTATTTCCTTCACATTCTACCCCACCAAACACCACCTCTCCCACTCTCTCTCTCTGCTCACATGGAGGAATCATTCATTTGCTTCCGGACCCTTCTAATAAAGCATGCCAATGACAGCTAAGTTTGCCACTAAAAGACCTGATTGGATATGAATGGATATGTTGAACATAACCATATTCCCTTTTATCATACAAACAAACACACACTAAAATAATCCTATAACTACATTGCTATGCAATCAACTAATTAAATAAGCCTTAATACTAGTATATTTAACAACTTGTGCTGCATATATATATATAACCCACAAGAGAAGCCTTTTGTACTACATTTCTTATTTGGAACATTTCCTTATCTTATCCTCTCTTCCATCTTTCCTTAGAAACTTCTGAAGATGGCTGGCATTGCATTTGGACGCTTCGATGATTCTTTCAGTTTGGGCTCAATCAAGGCCTATATTGCTGAGTTCATCTCAACCTTGCTCTTTGTTTTTGCCGGTGTTGGTTCAGCCATAGCCTATGGTTAGTTTCCATGCTTCACATTAGAATTGAACCTAAGATCTGTCTCAACCCATCACTCCTTTAATACTATGTTTACACTCACGTTGTTGAAGCTGTTACACCATGATTAAACGTAAAATAACATGCCTTTTTTCTTAAATTGTTGCCATGCAGAAGTTTACAAAACACTACAAAATAACATACTTTCTTAGTTTCAACATGTTGACCTTTTTTTTTAATTTGTAGGTAAGTTGACATCAGATGCAGCACTTGATCCTGCTGGGTTACTAGCAGTTGCTATTTGCCATGGTTTTGCTCTCTTTGTTGCTGTTTCTGTGGGTGCCAACATCTCTGGTGGCCATGTCAACCCTGCTGTGACCTTTGGATTGGCTCTTGGTGGCCAGATCACCATCCTCACCGGTATCTTCTACTGGATTGCCCAGCTTGTTGGCTCCATAGTGGCATGCTTTCTTCTCCACTTTGCCACAGGTGGCTTGGTACGTTGAAACTATACTCATCTATCAACATGGTTCAAATCTCAAAACCACTTTTTTGATCAACATGGTTATATGGCACATATATTTTCCTTGCATAAGAAGCTTCATGCTTATAAACAAAGGACACACATGCATTTTTTCTATCTAGTATTCTATTATAGAGACTAAAGGTATAATTTTGCCACGGGTAAGAATAAGAAGGGACATAGTACATAGAATTATAATTAATTATTTAGCTACCCTCCATTTAATACTATATTATATAGTATATACCAAGTAAAAGAACAAAAATAATAGCATAATGTTCAGTATATTTTTTATAAAATAATAAAAAATTGAATTGTTGTTATTTGTTGTCAGACAACTCCAATCCACAGTGTGGCTTCCGGGGTTGGAGCTGTTGAAGGAGTTGTGACAGAGATCATTATCACATTTGGTTTGGTGTACACAGTGTATGCCACAGCAGCTGACCCAAAGAAGGGATCATTGGGCACCATTGCTCCCATTGCCATTGGATTCATTGTTGGTGCCAACATATTGGCGGCTGGTCCATTCTCTGGTGGGTCAATGAACCCAGCACGCTCCTTTGGTCCTGCAGTTGTTAGTGGTAACTTCCAAGATAACTGGATCTACTGGGTTGGACCTCTAATTGGTGGTGGTTTGGCTGGTCTTATCTATGGCAATGTGTTCATTCGCTCTGACCATGCACCTCTTTCCAGTGAATTTTGATTTCATTGAGATCATGGCCTATGTAATTCATGTTTCTTGATAATAAAAGGAGGAAAAGCAACTATTGCTTTTCTTTCTTTTCTTTTTCTTCTTTTAAATTTATTTGTAAAGCGTGCTGCTAGAGTCAATGGTTGTTTGGTGAAAATTGAAGAGGTTGGTGGAGCGCACTATTGCATTATTATCTTCACAGGTTTACTTTCTGGCTTCACTTTTAATTTGGATGCCATGCACAATGACTAATGTGCCACTGGCATTTATCATTATGCAGAACTTGACATCCTCATAAGAGTGATAATTGCTTCTAGGATCAATAAAATCCAAGCAGATACAAAGAAAAACCCATAATTTATTTGAATTAATCCATGTGAATAATGGTTTAGTGACTTAGTGCAATGGAAGAGTTACTTAACTTGATAAAAACACAAGGAAAATGCCAATATCTAGCTGTTGAACACCAGATAGAGTATTGAAAGCCGCACATGACTTAGAAATGGGAATCCAAGCAAGAGGGAAATATTATGTGTGGCTTGATGCAAAGTGTCAACAAAGGTGTTTAATTACATGGGGATGGTAAGGCTTAGGACTTTATGTTTGTCCCAAATGTCTAAAAGGTGTTAGTGTGGTCCAGCATGTGAGAATTATTTAGCTTAAAATGTGAAGTTCCAAACAGTACGAGACTACAAGCCAGGGAAAAAAAACCATTGGAGTAATGTCCTTCTAGATCATGATGAAGACAAAGAGGACTATGCTTTGTATTCAATCCTCTCTACTCACGGGGTTTGTACTTTGCATCCAAATTTCACAATACTCTCTACTCTAAAAATACAACATTTTTGAAAATCATAGGACACCAAATTAATATAATTAATTAATGTAAAAATCAAACTTAAGAAAATAAAAAACAGAGAGAGAGAACTAGAACATAATAAAATTCAACAATTTATCTAAATGTTCCATTATTCAGGGTGTTATAAAATGTGACACATACATATCCAATGCAATTATTTTTAAGTATCAAAGTTCCCTTGATTGGGTGAGAATTAGAAGTTTCGATCAGATGCATAGACAAAAACATACCTGTGCTCATTCTTGTGCCTTTATATCATGGTTTGTTGAAGAGACAAAATTGAAAATTTTACGAAATGGAATGGATCACTAATTTCTTGAAATTGGACACCGTCAATTTGATTCTGTTGGACCAGTACCTGAAGATATCCGTTAAGATTAGATTCATTTTATCAGCTATTACTTCTATGAATAAAAATATTGGTAAAAATGCTTTTTTTGACGTAGAAAGTGTTGATTTAATATTTGTATCTAAATTTAAATAAAAACAACTTATGCTCATACCATCTTTCACTCTACAGAATGGAATATGCTGGCTTGTTTAGTTATTGTATAGCACTGCCCTGTATCCAAATAGGTCCAAAAAAAATAATCTGTCACCACTAGCAACACTTTCTGCCAACAAATTTTTTGTATGCAATTTGCTGCATAAAATAAAAAACTCACGCATATATAGTGACAACAAGATATTTAATCAATTAAAATATAGATAATAGAGTTGAATCTAGGTATATAAGTACTCAAAAAAGAATGGTTATATGTACTAAATTTGCTATGTTCGCAAATATAAATATAGAGACAAATCTTTTTTTAAAATATGAAATATTTTAGGACAAAATTTGAATGTAGGTTCTTAAGTATTTTTAATGTTATTTTTTAATTAAAATTTTTTTTTATAAAAATATTAGCATTTAAAATTATTATAAATTATTGAGATAAAACTCTAATTTTAATTAAAAAACAGAAAAAATTAAAATATTGCACTTAATTTTTATCCAATACTACACAGGTAAGACAGTTGATTGAATTTCAATAAAAATCAACTTTTCAAAGTTGGTGATCTTAACAATGCCATTGAATGAAATAGTTTTGTTGTTTGGATTCCAATGATGCCCACATGCCAAGGCTCGACATGAATGTTAATAGTTTCTAATTTTCTGGGAACAAAGATTAGTTGTCTATGAAGTATACAATGAAATCAAATCATGGGTACATTGATCAAACTTGAAAAACTGTAAATGATAGTTAGCAAGAGTTCTAGCCAATGGTTTTCTCTTTTTGAAGTTCCTATGGAAATAAATATATTATTCTTCTTATTCTCTTTTCTTTTGGTTGCATGAAGCAGATTTATATGGTATTGGATTTTACCAGCATTGCATTTGCAAGCATTTAGACGAGCATATAGGCAGAGCAAGAATTACATACCAATATCACCACACATTCACATTCTCTTGCAACCGTCAATAGCTTTTGATTTTTATACTTCTAATTTCAAGTATCCGAGGGGATAAATTTGGAAAGTAAAGACCATGGAAAAGTACTAAATTTTGATTGCATTGGAAGAAAAGATAGAAGGTTTATTGAAAATAATATCGTATCACCGAATTCAATATATTAATATTATTAAAAGTTATAATTTTTAATAAAAAATTATAATTTCTTTATTTTTTTTAACATTTATTCTTAATCACTCATTAGAAACATCCTTATTTAAAACCAATTTACAGGAAACAAGATCACTGGTTTCATCCAAAAGGTTGAAAGAGCAGATTTGCCTATCTCCTCCATCAAATTCTAATCCATTCAGCCTATGCTCAGCAACCCGTCAAAATCAAAATGTTAGTCAAAGTAGAAAATGTTTAGTATATATTTCAACAAATGCATATTAAGAAATCAATGATGAATTGTTAAAAGGGGAAAACAGGGAAAAAAAAAACATTTCTTTTATACAGCAACAGGAATCCAAAGGTACACCATAAAAGTAAACAACAAAATATGTTAAGTGTTGTTACACATGGAAATTGAAACTTGTCAGTGTCTGAACGCACAAAAATTGAAACGCTACATTACGCATTTTATTTATTTATTTCTTACAGAACCATAAACTCAAACTCTATTGTAAACCTTCTTTATATGCTTAAGTGAATGACCCAATGGTCTAGCAGATTCTTCTGTATTAGTTTTGGCTCCTAGATTTTTCCATGGACCTTGGAGCTGCAAAAAAGGAAATTGATAACATATCTTTAGGCAATCTTTCATTTTAAATGTATAAATAAAGTTATCCATTTTCAATATAAAAATAATTTTAATCATACACTCTATTTTTGAGTGTATGAGATGAAAAAATGAAGAGAAAAAAAATAGAAAGAAAAAGAAGAAAGAGAAAACAAAAATGCGATAAATAATGTAACGTGATCAAGAAGAAAGAGCTAAAGAAAAAAAAATTAGATAAAAGGGTGATGAAAGTACTGTGTCAAGTGTATGAATATATTGATCATTTGCACCTTAGCAGGTTAAAGCGAGCTTATACTTACCTAACCCGATTGCTTCAGAGCCTTTCATTATCCTTAGTTTCTTACATGACTCAGTAAACATCCTGTAGAGACAAGTTATCAAATTATCATATGTAGCATTAGACAAGGAACATGATTAAAGACAAAAATGATTACGGTTTCAATTAGATTGAGAAGTGCCAATCAGAAATTACAAGCTTGTCTTGGCATATTAAAAAGTAACATATGGTAAATTCATTCTGAAATTGTGACTTAATCAGCAATTACTAACATAACCCAGGTAATAAACAAGCCAATAGGAAAAACCAAAAGTTAAAAAAAAAAAAACAAACGAAGTTAACCAGTTCAACTAGTAATCAGCAATGTCTTAGTGCAGAGGTTAAGGAATGTGAAAACTTTTCAATTAAAGTATAGTAAAGCATTACTTTTGTGATTTTCAACGTACTTCTAACATAATTTTTATTAAAAAAATTTATTTATTAATTTCTTAATCAAAGTGTTAAGAGCATTAATTAACAGCGTCCTAAATATAAGAATGAAAAGAGAACTTACTCCCAAGGGACATCACCCACAAGCATCCAGTCTCCATCTTTATCTTCATATGTAAGAACATATTCAGAGCCATGAAGATCCCTGAAGGCACTCTCACTTAAGCCATCTTTCCCAGGAACTCCACGAGAACTGCATTGACCTGATTTCAGGAATAGAAATTAGTCATGGTGCAAAATTGCCATGCAGAATTCCAAAGGGAAATATTGTTTGTCCCTAAGAAACTTTGATCCCTTCTCACGTAGTGAAACTACACAAAATGTTAATATATAAAAGATATATATAGTAAATTTTTATTAAAAACTATAGAATTTAGTGTAATATTATACAAATTAAAAAAATTAATATATAAATACCATAAAAAAAATAAAGAAATAATATTTTTTTATTAAAAATTATAACATTTAGTTTATTAATATATTAGATCTTATGATATTCTGTGATTTCTAAAAAACCTTATCATATATACTTTTTATTGTATGATATTGGGTGCAAGTTAAAATTAATTGTTAATAAAATATGAAAAATATTGAGTTGTTTTTTAAATATATTAGTGGCCTAGTTCATTCAAAGTTTTTATTTGCTTAAAGTGGTTTGATCATTACTTCAGTTATGAAACTTAAATCATAATCAGTTAGGTGTCAAATTCATAATTAGATCAAACTATTCAGTTCCATTAAGCAATTACAACATTGATTTAAACATACTGAAGGAGATAGAATACCTATGGTAAAGCAGCTGAACATTTTCTCAAGAGCAGAAGAAAGTTCAACATAGTTGCCGTAGGTTTTCAGATCAACCTTTCTGAGATAAGGGGCACCATCCATGCTGACCTTTACATAAAGACAACCAACTCCTGATTTCTCTTCAGCTTCGTTATTGCTTTTTGCCAAATTAGAGGCCATCGTGTTCTTTCGAAAAGATCGGATTGGTGGCCATCCTACAACTTGTGCTCTGTTACAAAAAGTTTGATATTTCACTCATCACTCCATAGAGCATTATTAATAATCAAACACGAAAAAAAAATTTCCATAAAGGAAAAAAAAAATAGGCCCTAGACTTAATTTCCATGGAAAGCTACTTTTTTAACGGAACAAACTATATCTGGCTGAAAATAAGATGGCAAAAATCAGTGAAATTTAAACAAAATAATGTAGAGTAGACCAATACATCAATGAATGCTCCAACAAAGTCTCACTAAAGGAAAAAAAAATGACTAAGACCGAGTTTTAAACATACCCTTTAGCTTTAACAAAACTTGATCTGATTACCAACCTACCACATATACCCTTCTCTATTTTGGGACACCAGAGTCAAAATATAGCACATATCTGACTGAGAAATATAGCTTAGACTTATTTATTTTGTACAATAAGGGGCTCCATACAAGAAATAAAATTCCAACAATTAAATTTCCCATTGATGATTACAAATCCAAAATCTATGGGAGCAGAAAGCCATTCAAAACAGGTTTTTTGGCTTGCTAGTCTTTCACCTTCTTCTGGGCAACCAAAAGAACCGCATAGCATATAACTCAAACATGTTTTGTCTACATGTTCATTGAATGAAATCAGCAATCAATTTGATAATTGACAGAACAAAAAGAGCAGTGAAAACATTAGCAAGAGGAAAACTTACTTGGAAGCAGGAGCTCTACCATGCTCATTTGTTGCATCAACCTGAGGCTTCTTTTCGTGAGCTTTCTTCTCAGACTGAGGAACCATACCATTACCAACCTCTTTGTTGCTTCCTACAGAGGTATTAGCCTGAAGGCTATTATGCTTACCCTCTGAAACAACAAGGCCTATAGGGGAAAACAAAGCAGCTCCATTGCCCTCAGTTCCATCACTCACTGAGAAAATCCATTTCCCAGAAGAAGAACCGTCAATGGCATCAGAGAAGCCCCTCTTAGCCCCAGCCACAAGGTTCTTTGAAGGAGCTGAAGAAGCAGAATAGCCATTGTGCTTGTTCTGCAAATCCTTGCCAAAAAGAGAGATTCCAGGTACTGAGTTTTTGCAAGGAGAGTCACAACCTGGGAGGCCAAGCCTTAGCTCAGTCTCCTTGAAGTTGAGAGATGAAGTGTTTTCGTCCTCAGAGGAGAGGTTAGAGGAAACTGAAGAGGATATCTTATCACAGCTTTTCTCCATGGATGGAGACTCTCCTAAGCCTATGTAATCATGTTCTAATGGTGTAGACATCAAAATGGCACAGTGAAAAGAACCAAATTATGCAGCAGAAAAAATTATGAACAAGTTTGTATGCGCTTGTATATAAATAAATAAAGATATAAATATGCAGAACTTAAAGGAAAAGAGAAAGCACAGAAGTCAGAAAGTAGAGTTTAAATAGCAGTTATGGTATGGTAAATTACAAATTTCCAGGGAGCTTTTTTCTTTTCTTTTTTCGGTTTTATTACTTCAATACTTAGAACTCACATTAAGTATTTGAAAATAGTTTTTTTAATTAAAAAAATTATTTTTATTTCTATTTATCTAGGGAAAAAATTATTTTCATCCAAGAATTCAAGACAATATTAATTATGATTTTTCTAATGATACTCTTTGTCCATGTAAAATATTTATAGTATGCGGTTGTTTCAGTGTCTAAGAAAAAATCATTAATAAAGAATAAATTAGTAAGTCTAGCTATTAATAAAATGATAATTTTTTTCCTATTAAATGATTAACTTTTTGGGCCTTTATAATTTTTTTCTTAAATAGATAAATAAAAATAAAAATATTTATTATATATATATACACACACAGAGTTTTAAAAAATTTATTTTTAGTTGTTTAAAATCAATTCTCATATTTGATATTAATATTTCCTCCTTTTTATGCAGTAAAGAATCTTCTTAGCCTTTATGAATCAACTTTTCTCTTTTTAAAGGCATTTCTTTCATCTCGGCAAAATTTAAAAATTAACATTGTATATATTATTATATATAAAAAAAATTTATACACGTCTCAAAAATACATTCTGAAATCAAAGACAATATCAAAAGTATCTCACTTTTAATGTAACTTTTTTTTTTCCATTTTTTACACCTATACTTATAATAATTTGATAATATGAGCATAATTAATGTATATTTTAGAACAATGTTACGGAAACAAATAGTTCTTTTATAAAAGAATTTTTTGACATTAGTTTTATTACTACTATACGTGTGTATTTAGTTTTGTTTTTAAGTTAATTTTAGAAAATAAAATAAAATATTTATTTGATAATAGTTCTGATTTGAGAGTTTTAAAATATTTATAAATCAATGTTTTAAAATTCTTCTAAATTAATTTTTTTAATTTCTTTTTCTTCTTTCTTTCTCTTCTCCTCCCGACTCTTAAATCCTTCTTTTCACTCTCTTTTCAAATTTCTAAATCAAGCCTAAACTATTTTTTTTTTTTACTATTTTTAAAATTTTATTGTAGAACTCCATTGTACACCAAAATAAATAATAAAAGTATAAAATACACATACATATTTAAACAAATATTTTAAGTGTTAAATTTAGTAAAATAATTTAATAATCTTTATTATAAATTTTTTAATTAACTATTAAATTTAAAATTTTCATAAAATAGTTTAGTATTACTTGACAATATTTTAAGCAGTAGTTTCACAGTGTTTCTAAATTTAAAAATTTAAAAATAAACTACTAACTCGATTGTAATATGAATAGTTATGATTATATGTATAAAGGAAGTACAAAAAAATACCTTCTTAGTTAATATAAAGATTATTTTTAAAAAAAAATTGCATTCTGGTCCAAGTTAGACGCACACTGTAACATGCCACGACATTCCAATTTGAAAAGCATTAAGAATAGAATAAATAACTGTGTATGAGTCGAGACAAGACACAGATGAAAGGGATTCAACAGAAGTGAATCTCTATTCTTTAGTTGAATATGAAGTGAGTCCCAACTGGCAGACAATTCTCCGTATCTTCACATGTCTGTCTTTTGGATATTTTTTCTCTTCTTCAAACCATACACATACTGTCATAATGCCTTACGAATATAAGACATGGAACTAATTAATTAATTCTCGATCCCTGTTCTCAATAAGAACAACAAATTTTCTGTACGCTGGAAAAAGTAATTAAAGAGGGTATGAATATCAAATTCATAAGCTGGAATTATGTTTCAAATCTTACGTAGGATTTATATTAGTTGTATATATTCAATGTGTTTGTGGAATGATCCTATAAACACATTCAGAGAAAATCATAGGTTGTATCTATTGAGATATACTAGTAGAATTGTTTAACTGTTAGAACCACTCAAAATAAATGAAAAATGGGTCAAATTAATTAAACATAATATGGTTTGGAAAAGCTTTAAAAAATGTGATGAAACCTAAACCGTGAATGGGCAAAGCGTGCGGGAGATGAGATTAGATTAGACGACGAACGTGTACGACACCCTACGATGTCGTTAGGAGACAATCACTTCTTGCCAACGCATATACAGTGTTTCTCGTCGATCCATTCCAACATCCACGTACTTCTTCCCTCTTCCTGTCGTTTGTTCGTTTTAGACTTTTTCACTCATCCTACTCGTTAATCAATGGTAATTTCATTTTGGGGTAAATTAGAAACACTCCTTAATTAATAATTATATTGGTTGCTAGCTTAATTTCTTTTAATAAATTTTAAGGATATTTATTAAAAAATAAAACTGGAAGGTATTCGTAAAAAAAATATCCATTAAAAGTAAGATACTATCTTATTGATATTATCTTAATACTTGATTAATATGTTTGACTTTTTAATTATTTCAGTGCGTTTTCTTTTACTTACAGTTTCAGAATAATTACTTTTGAATTCCTTTTTGTGCTCACTTTTTCTCTTCAAGTCTTAATTATTTCAAATTAATTACTTTCAATTTGTTTATAATGAATTTAACACTTTCGACCCCACATTTTTAGTTGTTTCACTCCTTTTCTTAAATTTGCTTCTTTTAATTTATACTCTTTAAATTCTACCTGAATTTACTACATGCAAATAGCTAATATATTTTTTTTCGAATTTCCACATGTATAATTTTAAATTGACAGAAAAAGGAATTACAAAAGCCACTTACGCAACATAGCCATCGCTCATAATTTCGATAATTGAAACAGCAAAAAGGACCCCATATCGTATGACACTGAGGCTGAAATTGACTTCTAAACCTAGCAACATACTGAAAACCTAAAAAGCTGTTTGTACAAATTAAGGTAGGGAAAAGGAAAGAGATTGCTATTATAAGCATTTACTCCCCACCAATTATTACTATTCTAAAACTTGAAATCATTAAAAAGATTTCTTCTATATGTTAGTTTAAACATAAACTGAACTGAATGGAAGGCTTGGTGCAATGCATCACTTGTGCCCCCACCTAGCTCGCAAATAGTAATACTATATATTATGTAAAGTTGGTAATTGTAACATTATTTGTTTTGGGTGCGTTGGTAGTTGCAATATTATAGTTGTATGTTTCTTTAGTCCATCTGGTTATGAGGAAATTGGGATCCATACTGTAGGCTCCTACCAATCATAGCTCGAAAGCTAGCACATATGATCTCATTGTAGATGGGAAACTTGCTATTTTGGACCTCCCAAGCTAAGGGACTATATACCATGACCCTTTTGACCAAACAGTGCAAGAAGCTCTATATTAATTTCCAATGAATAATTTGAGTGGTATAATTGGCATAAGATAACACTGAATTAAAAGATCCCTCGTGGTTAGCAGAATCAATCACATGATTTAAGAGCTACAAACAGGGTCACAAGCGTTCCCACCTACATAAAGATTGGTCCTAATGATATCTGTCCTTGAACCCCTCCAAACGGTCATCCGTCATTAAATTAAAGGCTATCTTTCCCATGTAACACACAAGTCGGACATTTTTATTTTTTGGATTTTCAATTTTTTAAATTCAACTTTTTACTCCATTTTAATTTTTTTTATCATATCACTTATTATTTGATAATATTATTTTTATTTCTTCTTTTTTTATCCATTTTACATTGTAATATATCTCTATGTTTCTAAATGATTTAAACATATTAAAGACATGCATGCGTAAGCAAAATTGAATAAAAAACATTAATTTCTGACCATTACAAATTAACTCATACTAAGTAACTTTTTTAAACTCTTAATCATTTAAAAATGTGATGGTGTTGTTTTATTAAAAAAATAAATCAATTTAATGACAAAAAACGCATGAATATATATGGTATTTATAAAGCTCTATTCATCGTAAAGTTCAAAAAGTGGAAACATTAGTAAAAACTAAAACAATTTGCAAAAAATCATAATATCTGTACAAAATTACCACGGTAACAAACAATCTAAAAATCAGAGAACAGAACTGCTAACATACATCGCATGAAAAAGGTACGAAATAAACATTGGTGTTATTATTCTTATAATGTCATCCATTAATCTAAGTTGGAACTGATCTCCATCATGAATTTAAAGGGTGCTTGAAAGACATGTTGTGAACACACCAAAATTTCATTGGAACGTTAAATTCTTGTTACTAAACGAGTAATGTTATTTCTATAACTATATATATCTGTATAATTTATTTCTTTCTTTCTATAAATATTATTTATTTTATTTTAAAGTTTCGAGTTTAGAGATTGCCAAACGGAATACCATGATTACGAGAATTGATGAAGGAGGAGATTTTTCATTTTTCTCAATTGAGGGGTACGATGGCAAATTGGCAATGACCACACTACCACATCGATTGTACAGTTGGAGTCCATTTCCAATATGACATGAGTAAGACCTATATTCACAACACTTCAGTCTTAACAATCACTCCAAATATCAGTGGAAACACAAACACGTTGCTGTATTCACACTCACACCTACAAATAAATTGACACAGCTAATTTGCACAAGGAACAGGTATATGATGTTAAAAGGTATATCATTGCCCCGATATCTTCTAAAAAAAATGATATTTTGTAGAATAAACAGACATATTCACTTTTCAGGTTGAAGATTTGATTAAAAAATACAGACATTTTTTACTCCGTGAAAACTGGATTAGCCGGATATATTGCAATACAGAATCATTTGAATCTCCTTTAAAAAAATATCTTTCTTATAATAAATCTTATAAAAAATTTGTACGTAGTAATGATAATGAGATAGTTTTAAAATGTCCTGCGTTAAATAGAAATACAGTGAAAATACTCCTTATATCCAGTTCTGAATGTGAAGGGATGTATTAACTTTTTTAAAAAATTACATAAATTTTTAAAGACTGAAAATGTCATTACATTAACTTAGGGATATTTGGAGGAGTAT